ACCATTGATCTGAAAAAATAATAATTTAAATAAATTGAATACTAATTAAACAATAAGTTGTGTACAAATAGCGGACACACCTTATGGTCCTCTCCCATCACTCTAACCGTGTAGTTGTTGTACTGATAGAGACTAATTCATACTTCGCTTAACGTGAGGATACCATTGATCTGAAAAAATAATAATTTAAATAAATTGAATACTAATTAAACAATAAGTTGTGTACAAATAGCGGACACACCTTATGGTCCTCTCCCATCACTCTAACCGTGTAGTTGTTGTACTGATTGGTCATACACTGGGACTTAGCGATGAACCGGTCGATGGTGTTTGGGTGCCACCAGAGCCGCTGATTGCCATTGGAGTCGTGGTGGCGACCTAGCACATCCCGTCCCCATATCATACCAAACATGTGTTAATTTATATGTAATTTTTATATCAGATTTTAGTATAATTACCGTTTGAGTCGAAACCATGGGTTAACTCGTGTCCCACAATCTGTTAGACATTTATTTAATACCGTATAATGTTTTTAATGATTTAAATAATTGCTTTATTATTAGTAGTTTGAATGACATACCGATCCGATAGCCCCATAATTCAATGAGTTTGGATAGTCTTTGTTAAACAGCGGAGACTGGAGTACAGCCGCAGGAAAGCCTTATTTTTTGTAATTTTAAAAATTAGTTAAAAACATATAAAGTTTTAATTAAATGTTTGTATGACTTACTCATTAGATTCCTATATCTATGGTAGTGTGCGTTCACAACACTGGGTACTACTGTCCACCTGTTCATTGGGGGGAAATGGATGTAGTATTTTTAAGGTAACTTATATCCTGGCACTATGTACTCACTTATCCCGGTCAACCTCATCGTACAGTTTTGATTGTGTCTTATTAGTGGAGTTTCGCAGAAATCCGATAACATTTTCAAAGTATTTGTCACTTTCAAAGTGTAGCTATAATTGCATTAAAAATTATTTTTTAAAATATACATTTGTGTTATGTTTTAAATGTTAAAATTTACATGTTCATATTCTTCATTCAATTTATCCTGGTCCATTAAGTAATCAGGGAAACCAATGTGCTGCTCCATTACCGCTGCCTATAATCAGTATTTTAGATAAATAACTAGCTAGTCACATAAATTTAAAGTTTTTAGTTAGCATTAATGGCTTAAATAAGTTTAAAAGTAAATTAATGTTATTGGGAATACAGGATCTACAATTTGTACTAGTGGAACCAGAACCGTAGTCGAGATCAAAGGCCCAGGTAGGTGAGCTAGAGTAGCTCATAAAGCATCTTAAGTAAGAATTATAATCGCTAGTAAAGAAGCCGGATTTTATCACAAATTGAAATTAATTTTTAATGTTTTTAAACACAAATAACTATTTAATTAGAAAAAAGTTTTCAATACTAACTAACCTTAGCCTTACTGGCGCTGTTAAAATGTTCCTGAACATACAGCGCGCTTACTGCCATACCTAACAAATTATAAGCAACTTATTATAGCATAGGTCCTGTATTTTAAATAGCATACTGACCCATGTTATTATTAACATAGTCGACACACTTTTTCCACCTGGCTGACTGACTTTTAGTACCATATATTTCCCTATAGAAATCTTGTTGTACTTTATCGAACCGGGCATCCAGGTTATTGGCCCGGTTCATCACAAACCTCCATAGCAAATAATTAAGCAAGGTCCTATCGAAAATAATTAATTTAATATATTAATAATAAGTAAATTACTGCTAAATACCGGTTAGGTGTCTGTCCAATGAGCTCCTGTGTGTCAATAAAATAGTCCAAACCATATATGCCGACAAACTCGGTGTCGTTGACGGGCACCGGTATGGCTAACTCGAGGTACAGTTTCC